GGCAAAGATACAGAGATACTCAATTCTTCGAAGTAGTTGCGGGATGGTTATTTCTCTTCAATTTCTCCCAGGTCCATGGTTCTATTACTACCATATTTCTCCTCTATTTCTGCCAGGTCCATGGCTCTACTACTACCATTACTACGAGCTCTAGCCTTGCAGTATAAATTGCAGAGTTTTGCAATGTCGGGACGCTGAGTTAACCTTGAATCATTTTCAGAATCGTATCTACTCCTTCTCTTTCCCTCAAATACCGTCCTCCTCATCCTCTTTACCTTCTCTAGACCCCTCCCAGTCTAGAGAACAAGTAAAACTTTCTTACTCAGATAATAGATTTTTATTTGTAATTTTATCTCTGATAATTGTGTCAGCTAATAGATATTGTAGGCTTGGTACACCTAGTACACCTTGCATCTGAATTATGGTTGACTTGTATAATGTATATTTTAAAATGAACCTAGTTATGGAGCTCTCATAATATATAGCACTGTAGGAGAAAAAAACGGGTTTACGACTTCATTTTTATCTTCTATAGAGTACGCTTTTATACTGCTAGCTAAAGTGCCCGGCGTTGCCCGTGGAATTTTGAAGAAGAAAATCGATTTTTGAAAATAAAAATTTTGATTTAAAAAAATAAGGGCCCGATCGGTTCAGCCGTTTTGACGTTTATTGGATACAAACAGACAGACAAACAAACAAACAGACAGACAAGCCAAATTTATATATAGAAGATATATAAGCGAAAAGCTTTATTATATAGATTGAGCACGGTACATCGTCTTAAGCATGTTTATTTCATCTTAAGAACGTTTATATCCTCCAGAGAACGTTTACATCATCTGGAAAAGGTTCATATTGATTATAAACTATGGAGCACGTTCATACGTAGCTGCAGAAGCATGATCATATAGCACTTTTATACCATCTATGGCACGTTTTTATGTTTGGATTATCTGGAGCACGTTTAAAATTCTAAAGCATGTTTAAACATCTAGAGCACGTTTAATTATAACATCGGTCGATCTGGTACTTATTATCCGGAGTTTACAAAGGAATATTCACCGGACCATGTTTTTCTTCTCAAGGGTAGGTTTATATTATAGTTATATTAAAGTTACCAACAACCCTAATGAACCAATCAGAATGCGTCAATCTAGATACTTTAATAAAATAAATACTTCTTGATTGGTTCATTAAAAATCTATGAAACATATTCATATTTATCTTTTGCCGTTAACATGTTTTATAAAAGGTTACTTCATGCTGCCGGGTTACTTATAATGAGTAAGCATTTAGAATTACGACTCCACTGATTTTATTATCATCCTTTCCGTTATTCTAAATGGCGCACTGCGGAGTTCAACTTTTTTATTTTTAACCAATTAAAGAGGTTAAACGTCGAAAATTTATTTGTTGAATCTGATAATACAAGGTCTTAGATATTTTTAATCTATATATAAATTTAGCTTGTCTGGGTGTCTGTCTGTTTGTTTGTATCCAATAAACGTCAAAACGGCTGAACCGATTGGGCCCAAATTTTGTGCGGGTCCTCACGTGACCACAGGAAAGGTTTATGAATGATCAAAATTTTAAAAATTTGTGTTAAAAGTTTTTTATTTTTATAAAATTTAGAAAATGCGCGAAAAAATATTATGAAATCCGCAAACTTTTTTGTTTTTGTTTTATGCTGTACAAAGAGAAGATGCTCACAGATAAAGCCACAATTAAAAGTTGAAATAGAAAATGGGCGCGAAGCGCCCTAAAAGCCTAGTTTTCATAAAGTCTAGTTGTCGGATGTAAACATTTTAATTGTACACGTATGACGATGGAAGTAAGGCGAATAATGGTTCTTTCCATTCTCATGTTGAGTCTTAAATTTCGCTTTTCATCATTTAGAGGAGTTTTGGACGAAAAAAGGGGGAAATTGTGGCTCGGTCGTACAATAAAAAGTACTTATACTTCGAGCCGCTTTTTCAAATTGAGAAGAATAAGTTAAAAGTTTCTAAAAAATGCATCCAAATAAATTTCTTTTTCTCATTCATGGGAGTAAATTAAAACTTAAACTACGTGGTCACAAAGTTGTAACAAGTAATATTGCATTTTGACCTTTTCCTCAAGTCTAGATTTGAGTGATATCTAGAATGTAATGTGCGCCTTTAGTTTAAATATAGAGTCCATATCTTTCAAACGCAACAAAGCGGCTTATTTTAGGCTATCGTTCATATCTCCTTGAATAACATGGCCCTAATTATCCTCAGCTTAATGACCTAGCAAGGTGTAATTAAACCAGGTGATTACAGGTTGAGTTCTTGGATAAAAATGTTCAAATGCACGTGTTCTGTATAAACTCTTTGTTTCCAGTCCTATAAGAGGGATAGAAGCTAAAATAATAGTTCCAAAAATGACTTTGTTAGTTTACGTGATGGATAAGAACTTGTTTCCTTTTCAAAATCTTTAAAGGTTTTTTACTCAAAAAGGTTCCACATAAATCTGAACAGTTTTTAAAATGTCAAAATTGTGACTTTTCCTTGTGTTTAGAAAATCTACGGCAAAATCTACCACTAGCAGATACTATTTAGATTAGGAACCCAGCTTTGGCTTGAAAAAGAGTTTTCTTTATAAGAGTCAACCCATTCAACTAAGAACTTTTTAACGTAAATAACAACATTCTCGTGGTTCTTGAATTCCCCATCAACCAAAATTTAAGGCAAATCGGTCCAAGGGTTCATGAGTTATGATCATACATCCAAACAGAGATTGCTACTATATATATAATTGATATACAGATAGATGTTATTTATCCCAGCAATCATCTTTTCGGTTATGGTATTCTGCATACATTCTTATAATTCCAACCATCATTCACGTCAAAAAGAAATGCGCAAAATAAATTTAATTTTCATGCTGTGACAAATTTATTCATCAGTAAAACTAGTTTTATAGTTTCACAAAACCTGAATATCAGAAAACGACGCTAAAAAATAAAAATGGGGGATAGAATTCAAATTGTGTGTTGCTGATGGACCAAACCTCACTGAGTTAATAAAGAAGATGTTAGTTCAACATTTTATTAAAAATATATTTCAGTCTGGGTTGACCCTAATTAGTTCTAATGATATATTGACCATCAAAATACATATTAAAAAAATGTTTCAAACCCACAAGAAAAATAACAAACGAAAACAAAAAAGTTTTTTTCAAAAAAAAATTGGCAGTTAAATCGAAAAAAGGAAACGAACTCGGATCATGATATGAAAAAAGCTAATTTAAAAATGTTCGAAAACAAAGAAAAAGTGTATATTGTAAGCTTAAAATTAAAATCTGTTAAAAAAGATAAAATAAAGTTTTTAAAGTGAAAATAATAAAACGCGATATAATTTTTTTTTCGAAGTAGAAAAAAGGTTATCTTCGAACCAATCACTGTTATTTTTTTTTAGAACATTTCAATGCAAATTGCACTAAACATTCAAATAGAAAACTTATTTGTATTTTTGCTAGGATTTTTACAAAAAGTATTTTGCAAAATTATTTACTTTTTAAAAATCCAAGTGATAAAACTAATTGTTTCTTTAACACTTTTGTCCGAACCCCACTAAACTTTAAAACATTTAATTTAACTAATTTACAAATTGTTTTATAATTTTAAACTGGCCATATAATGATATTGTGCAATTTTTAATAACACCTTGAAGAATTCTATCAATCTCAAGAAATTGTTTTATTTTACTACAACTAGCTGAATGGCCAGGCGTTGCCCGCGGAGTTATTAAAAAATCTAGTTATAAAAAAATTAGATTTTTGAAAAAATATTTTTTAGCCATATGTTAATCCCAGGGTAGCCTTGGGTTTCCTCAAAAAAATCAATAAATTCGGTCCAGTCGTTTGGCCAGCTATAGCTAACATATATATACATACAAATATATACATATATATATGCTGCTGAAGAATGTCAAACATGAAACACAGTGTCCGCAATAAACTATATCAAATAAACAATAGAAAATGTTCTCAACTTATTAAAAAAGATACAAATATATATAGATATATATATATATAAGCGTAGAGCTATGGATATTAAAGGAAGCAAGCTGCAAGTTAGTATGGGGGTTATCAATGTTATGTTTAATTGCAAGTCAATCTTTAACAGAAAATGCGATTAATTCTATTGCCCCCCCCCCCTCTACTAAACCCTGCAAATCTTTCGGTCAGTGTACACTGACCGAAATCTTAGTTATAGGGAGTGTAGATAGGAGTTTAGCGTATTGTTGTTATGTGTAAAAATAGAATGTTTTTTTATATGTGTATAGCGAATGTTTATCGCATAACTGGAGTGTAGAAAGCATCACTATTTCCTTTATTAAAGAAATCAATTTGTTTACAATAAAACCAGTATCCGATTTTTTTTAGCCTTTCCGCCTATCCATTCTCCTTGCATTTACCTGTTACCCCCATATCTTTTGTTTATTAATAACGTGTACAGGGTGTCCCAAGACATTGGAATTCAAAGATGACTTGAAAATCGTCCTGGATTTCTAATAGTTAACAAAGAATGTTTCATATAAAGAGTGCACAATGTACATCCTATGAGGATATACAAAATGTGCTACCAGCGGGGATATTAACAATTTTATTCAGTTTCAATTTAATAAACAAAGGCAAAATTGTATAAATCGGAACTTTGATAAGCACAAAAAATGCAGACCTCATTTTAGAAATAAAGGAAAAATGGATAATTTGTGATTAATAATCAAAGAATTTTAATTTAAATATTATGTTGACGTATAAAAACCGCAAATTATTTCCAAGATTAAAGACGATTTTCAAGTCGTCTCTTAACTGTCATGTTTCGTGGGACATCCAGTGAATTCATTGCCTTCTTGTAATGTGTTTGTTTACGTGCCTGTGTGGGGGTGTGTGTGTGTGTATGTGTAGAATTGCGTATTGCGTCTGAAAGTACAAGATGACTGTAATGTTCGAGGATTTGCAGTGCAGAGAGCGGGATACATTGTCGCGGGTTGCAACTGCAATTTGTGCAGTTTTAGTGCAGTTCTAGTGCAACCAGCATGTTGCACTAACCTCCCTTGCACACTAACCAGCACATTATCCAGCCCTCACTAACAATACTAATATTGTATGATGAATATATTGTGATCTAACACTCCAAACCCTAATCTCACAATAAAAAAACTCTAACAAGTGAAAAAAGTAAAAAATAGAATTCCGGAATAACTGAAGTAAAAAAGATAAATTAAGGTAAGAAATTTCAAAGAATATAAGTATTTATATTTTGTGCATGTTTAATTTATATATATGTATATTTTATGTAAATGATGATAAAAATGTAGTCAAGTTCGTAAAACTTTTATAGATGATTATGTTCCAATTATCAAAACCTGATTTCCGAACCGAACATAAAAATGTCACTTTAGACAAATTGTTGAGTTTTTAAGATATTAGATGTCGAATTTGCAGATTCTTGCTCCACTTGGTTGCAAAACAGTAATTGGATTTTTTGCGAGCCACGAAATAGATAATTCTGATAATTACGGTGACCTTGAAAGCTCAATAAATAAAATTGGAAACAATGAAAGAACACATTAAATCCTTGCTCAACAAATCGATTTGGGAAATCCAGCTTTCCTTCTTTTACTTTATTTTAGTTGTTTCGAAAATGAGTTATGTGAAATCTTCTAAAATAAGGTTTTTTTATTTTTATTTTCAAAAGTAATTGCATAGTAATCAAATCTATGTAAACTTATAACCCCGATACGATTTTACTTCATGTGCTAAACATTATGGACTTACAACAAAGTATTATTACTAATGTTTCTAAATGTACCTGATCACGGGGTAATTAATACTTTTTGAGATTGGGTTGGGGTTTTAAACTTATCTGAGCAAAGGGATCAGAAGGTTACGAACTTTCAAGCAAAAATCAAAGAGAATTTTGCCAATTACTTCTGATAAACTAAAGTTAAAACTAAATGCTTTAAAGTTCTGAATTGTAAATTTCTAGGGCTACAAAAAAAGTTAGTGAGGTAAAATCTATGGGGTAGATGTTGCGACACTCAAAAGTCGAACCAGTCTTGAAAATTATTGCAATTTTTTTTGGCTGTCTGGATCTATATGTGTGATGTCTAGATCTTTTTTTAGGTCAATTATTTTCTTTCGATATGCTTGGAATATACAAGATATATTCTTTAACAATCCCAACTCAATTTAACAATCCCAACTCAATTTGACAATCCCAACTCAATTTGAAAATATGACAATGTTAACTTATACTCTTGGATAAATTCAGAGCCAGTTTTTATCCTGCACGTTGCTTCTGTTGCTACATCAATATTTTCAAAATATGTTTAGAGAAAAAAAAAATCCTATTAAGAGAAAATTTATGCTTAAAATCCAGCCAGCAGGGAAATAAGTATCCAGCCGGGACTAAATTCAAAACTCACATTATTTTCCTGGCTGAAACCCAGTTGTGCGGGTGCCAATAAAGTGTGGTTTGTAAACTTAATATTGTCGGGTTGAGGAATGAAAATTATTTCTTCACTAGGGATAAAAAAAATATAAAATGTATTGCTCTTGGGATAAAAAAAAAGTTTTCCAAAGAAACTCATGGATTTTACAGTTATCATACAGTGAAACCCTTAATAACGAATACATCGAAAGAATTCATCAAATGTCGTATTCTTCACTTTCTGATAATGGAATGTTGCAGATATTTAGTTTTTTTAATTAAATGATTATATGGAACTCTTTAAAACTGTTCCCGCATATTCATGGCTATTTATTTATTTTCGCAAATACTGAAATTTACGAAATATAGTATAAAACTCAATGAAAAATTGTCAAGACGACATTTTATAAATTCTTCCGATGTATTCGTTATTAAGGGTTTCACTGTATAAGAGTTATTAAAATTGCTTACATAATTATATTTGGTACATGGGATAGAATCTATAGATATCCTTCAAGATGCACTAACATTCTAGCTAATTGAGCCACATGAAAAATCATTAAAATTATCATATAACTGTTTTAAAATGAGTAATAGAGTAATTTTAGTAAAATCCTGCCTCAAACGGGTTGTTTTTTAGGAAAAACTATGAATTATTCATGAACTATGGTTCTCCCAAATTTTGCAATTTATTGATTTACTATAGCTTGGGAACCCAGCTTTTTCTGAACACTAAAAAATCAGCTTACTTAGGTCTTAGATTTTTAATTCAAGCTAAGAACATTCCCGTGGTTCTACCGAGTTCCCCAATACAAATTTGAATCAAATCTGTCGAGGGGTTCCCGAATTTTAATTGGACGTTCAAACAAATAATCAGAAATTGCTACTATATATATATATATATATATATATATATATATATATATATATATATGTATATATATATATAATCATAGGACCAGATACAAATACAAATCTCTTTATAGAATACTATCTAGAGTGCCCGGTGTTGCCCAAGTTTATATTATTATTCATAGTCATAGCTACTACCGTTATCCTGCACTTGATATTAAATCATGATTTTAGCTAAAGTGCCTGGTGTTGCCCATGGAGTTTCAAAACTGTTAAAAATGTAGCCTATGTCACTCTCAGCATACCCAGGGGTGTTTCCTAAAAAAATTCAGTCAATTTGGTCCAGCCAAATGGACTATCCTTTTCCGCTCAAGTTCTGAACAAAAAATCGGCTTTTTCTCCGGCCACAGTTGTCTTTGAAAAGTAAGACTGATACCAATTAATAGCGAATAGGCTATTTTTTATCATGAAATTATCCAAATAAGTGAACGGTCCTTTTAACGATTTAATTTTAGTAGATTATACTAGAAGGATGGACGCAAAGTTTGAAAATAAAAATTCTTACATTTCACCTTCCCCAATCAACATTAAACTTCTAAATACCAAAAAAATCTAGCCTTTAAAATACAAGACTTGATATGCACATTGCACATTGCACATTGCACAACCACAATTATGAATGAGTGGCTTTATCTGACCGCGGCCTGAAAGGGAGCGGGGAGGGATTTTACTAACATTTAAGTCATCTCACATTTAATTTCAAAGAAACGAGAAACGATGCAGAATTTAAATCTGTTGATGGAAATATTCTAAATTAGTAAATAATTAAAATTATTATTGACTTGACAATTATTGGTTAAACATTAAACCACCGACAAAACTTGGTAGCTTCCAGTTGTCTTATACACTTTTAGTAAACCCAACAAATTTCGAAAAATCAGATTTTAGTTTACTCTATACTTCGAGTCCTAGATTACTCTATGGATCTAGTCCTAGATTTATCTATGATTCTAGTCCTAGACTACTCTATGATTTTAGTCCTAGATTACTCTATGGTTCTAGTCCTAGATTACTCTATGGTTCTGTTTCTAGTTTACTCTATGGTTCTAGTCCTAGATTACTCTATGGTTCTGTTTCTAGTTTACTCTATGGTTTTAGTCCTAGATTACTCTATGATTCTAGTCCTAGATTACTCTATGATTCTAGTCCTATATTTATCAAGGTTCTATTCCTAGATTAATCAATGCTTCTAGTCCTAGATAACCATATGATTATAGTCCTAGATTACTCTATGGTTCTGTTTCTAGTTTAGTCTATGGTTCTACTCCTAGATTACTCTATGATTCTAGTCCTATATTTATCAAAGGTTCTATTCTAGATTACTCTATGGTTCTCATCCTAGATTACTCTATGGTTCTGTTTCTAGTTTACTCTATGGTTCTAGTCCTAGATTTATCTATGATTCTAGTCCTAGACTACTCTATGATTTAAGTCCTAGATTACTCTATGGTTCTAGTCCTAGATTACTCTATAATTCTAGTCCTAGAATTATCTATGGTTCTGGTGCTAGATTACTCTATGGTTCTAGTCCTAGATTACTCTATGGTTTTATTCCTAGATTACTCTATGATTCTAGTCCTAGATTACTCTATGATTCTAGTCCTAGATTAATCTAAGGTTCTAGTCCTAGATTTCTCTATGATTCTAGTTCTAGATTCATCTATGGTTCTAGTCCTAGATTACTCTATGATTCTAGTCCTTGATTATTCTATGGTTCTAGTCCTAGATTACTCTATGATTATAGTTCTAGATTACTTTATGGTTCTAGTCCCAGATTACTCTATGATTCTAGTCCTAGATTACTCTATGGTTCTAGTCCCAGATTACTCTCTGATTCTAGTCCTAGATTACTCTATGGTTTTATTCCTAGATTACTCTATGATTCTAGTCCTAGATTACTCTATGATTCTAGTCCTAGATTACTCTATGGTTCTAGTCCTAGATTACTCTATGGTTTTATTCCTAGATTACTCTATGATTCTAGTCCTAGATTACTTTATGATTCTAGTCCTTGATTATTCTATGGTTCTAGTCCTAGATTACTCTATGGTTCTAGTCTTAGATTACTCTATGATTCTAGTATCAAAAATCCATAAAATGAAAATTATTCAAATTGCCGAGGATTACAATTATGAAGGATATTAAAATTCAATAAAATTTCATCTTTGCACAAATATCAAATGTCAAAATCGTGTTTTAAAGAAGAAGAAAAATTTCTATTGATCCATGTTTTCTTACAAAATATTTAAACAGAAAATAAAATATTAATTTTATTTGATTTTAGGATGTCTGAAAAAAGTGTGTTCCCTAGTATGAGAGTTTGCTCCGACTCTGCCACACCCTACACTGATGCTACCAAGGTAGGCGTGGATGGGAGGGGGAAGAGGGGTGAGGAGGAGGGGGGGGGGTACATTTCAAATTATGTAAGAGGTTGTTAGTAACATTTATCGCTCTTTTTATCCCAGTTTGTTGGTGAGTTTTGGTTAGATTATTTATCTATCATTGCATTTTAATTCTTATTTCAAAATAATGCTGGAGTTGGTACTGTATTGAAAATAGGATAAACTCAGAACCTTATTTTTAAAGAAAATGCCGATAAAAAGGGTGTCATCAAAAAGCAAACGCGACCGTTTGTATACAAGGTTTCAATTTCAATTATTACAAACAATTTGGAAAGAATATAAAACGAAAACATGGACTTTTCGTTTGAAATCATAATTTTAGTAAATTATAATTAATAAGAATTCAGTTAATAGGCTTCACAAAATCACAGTACTTCTAAAAACCTGTAAAAAAAATTAAATTGAGAGGTTGCGTGACGTGAAGGATTAACGTCATGAGTCTTTCAAAAGTTGAGCTTACAGAAAAAAGAAGGCCCACTGAAATATAGATAAGGCTGAAAGTTATTCATCAAATTTTAAAAAGCCTCGTCTTTAAAGTGGTGCAACGCCTTGGCCATTTGTTTTACCTCAACAGCTCACTTATACTTTGTTGTATTCCTAGAAATAAATTTATCTCTACTTAAGTTTATAAGTAATATTTGGCAAAATACTGCTTGATTTTTGCGTAAAAACTTGCACTTCTTGATTTGCAGTGGTGCCATTGATTTATTTTAAAAAAGCTTACATAAGACAATTTTATACCTTGCCATGAAAAACTGGTTGAAAAAATCTAACTATTTGTTCACTATTATGAAAACAGTGTTTAGGATATCTCACAGATTATTACAACCTTAGCATTCTATTCATAATACTAACAAAGTGATATTTTTCTCGAAAAACTATCTGCATATTTGACATTATACGAACAAGTGAAATAGTTTTTTTTTCACCAACTCAAACAAAGACGGTGGCGGGTTTAAATTGTCATGAAAGCGAACAGATTTTAAATGATAAGCAATTTTCACAAAACCTCAAGATTTGAAAACCTTTCTGAAAATTAGTGAAAATAGCGAGAATTCTCACTAATTTAAACAAATAAAAAAATTATTTGTTCATCATTAGAAATATTCCTTTAAATATTAAGCCGCCAAAATTTTTTGCTCTTAACAGTTGTAATGATTTCAACACTTTTTCATTTTGCATTTTATCATTATTTTATTTACAAATGTGAATTTTTCTATACGCTAAGGGAGACATGTTTGTTGTGTTAATTTCTAATTATTTAACTAATGGAGTTGAATTAATTAAAATGAAAAATCTGACGATTTTTTTCTATTTAAAATTAGTTCTTAGAGTTTCAGGAACATTTTATTTTTCGAATCCAAGATTTAATTAAGAAGTTGAGTCCTAATTTCTTGGATTCGGAATCATTACGCTTTTTCTTAGAATTTTTCAGAAGATTGTCTTATCCCTGTATACTGAAGTAATTTATGTTTATTGAATATCCCTGTATACTGAAGTACTTTATGTTTATTGAATATCCCTGTATACTGAACTACTTTATGTTTTTTGAATATCCCTGTATACTGAACTACTTTATGTTTATTGAATATCCCTGTATACTGAAGAACTTTATGTTTATTGAATATCCCTGTATACTGAAGAACTTTATGTTTATTGACTATCCCTGTATACTGAAGTACTTAATGTTTATTGACTATCCCTGTATACTGAAGAACTTTGTGTTTATTGTATATCCTTGTATACTGAAGTACTTTGTGTTTATTGAATATCCCTGTATACTGAAGTACTTTGTGTTTATTGAATATCCCTGTATACTGAAGTACTTTGTGTTTATTGAATATCCCTGTATACTGAAGAACTTTATGTTTATTGAATATCCCTGTATACTGAAGAACTTTATGTTTATTGAATATCCCTGTATAATGAAGTACTTAATGTTTATTGAATATCCCGGTATACTGAAGAACTTTATGTTTATTGAATATCCCTGTATACTGAAGAACTTTATGTTTATTGAATATCCCTGTATAATGAAGTACTTAATGTTTATTGAATATCCCGGTATACTGAAGAACTTTATGTTTATTGACTATCCCTGTATACTGAAGTACTTAATGTTTATTGACTATCCCTGTATACTGAAGAACTTTGTGTTTATTGTATATCCTTGTATACTGAAGTACTTTGTGTTTATTGAATATCCCTGTATACTGAAGTACTTTGTGTTTATTGAATATCCCTGTATACTGAAGTACTTTGTGTTTATTGAATATCCCTGTATACTGAAGAACTTTATGTTTATTGAATATCCCTGAAAAGTTTTCATGACAAATATTAATACTTTAATTAACTGAACGCCTGAAGGTATTCGGCCTTCTCACCACACTTAATCTTAGCTTTGAGGATTCAAGATTTAAGATTCAAGATTCAAGACTCAAGATTCAAGATTCAAGGTTCAAGATTCAAGATTCAAGATTCAAGATTCAAGATTCAAGATTCAAGATTCAAGATTCAAGATTCAAGACTCAAGATTCTAGATTCAAGATTCAAGGTTCAAGATTCAAGATTAAAGATTCAAGATTCAAGATTCAAGATTCAAGATTCAAGATTCAAGATTCAAGATTCAAGATTCAAGATTCAAGATTCAAGATTCAAGATTCAAAATTCAAAATTTAAGATTTAAGATTCAAGGCTTAAGAAATTCAAGGTTCAAGATTCAAGATTCAAGATTTAAAATTCAAAATTCATGATTCAAGATTTAAGAAAGATATAAGATCTGAAATTCAAATTCATGATTTAGGATTTAAGAAAGATTTAAGAAAAATTTAATATTTGATGTTATTTTAAGATTTTAAAAGTTAAATCTAGCCTTATCTCATCATCCTTTTATTATATCTATTTTGATTTTATATTTTCCTTTTAACCCCTTTAAATTGCTTTAAAATCCCTAACTTGGCCTCCTTTGAAGTTTTACTGTTGAAACCACTGGAAATATATATAAAGAGGATTATATTTGCCAGCCTAAAGATATTTAATATGAGCAAACAACCCCTGAGAGTTTGCAAACAACCCCCTGATATAACTTTGCAGGCAAATATTGTCCTCAAAGTAAATCTAAACGCATTAAATCTGCGAAAATTCTTTGGTTTATGTTGCCGGGGAACATATTCAAGAAATGGCGGCATCCGGCAGGAATTTAAAATCAATATGGCGGCCTTTGTAATTTGACAATACAACACGAACGCCTAATTTCCGATTTCATCTCATAATTAATTTTTCTTTTCTGTTAGCAAATGAAAGTTGCAAGACTAAAATTAAGAAATTTATTCTTTCCGTAGAAGTTTGCTTATTTGTATTCTTTTCACTGATAAATCGTAATACACCCCGGACTAACCAGAGTGAGAAAAAATTCGGTTTCTTTTATTTGAAATCAAACGTATTTTGGTCTATAATTCAACAACCTTTAACCCTATCCCCGCTGGGGTACTTGAAAACCAGGATACGCTGGGGGGGGGTCAATTTGACCCCCCCCCCTCTAAATCCCATGTTTTATGTCCAAATATGACAAATGATACATCATTAGAAAGCTCTTGTGCTCTACTTTTAGAATCTGCAAAAAAATTTGCAAGTTTGCGAAAATTGAATTTTTTATCGCAAAATCCAGTTTTATAGTAAAAATGTTTGCAAAAAAAAATTTGTCCAAAAAATGACAAATTATACATTTTTGAAAAGCCCTTGACCATGCCATTTCAAATATGCAAAAAGTTTTGCAAAATTTTAAATAACCTGATTTTTAATCAAGAAAAACTAAAAATGTGCAAATTTCCTTTGACAGGTTGTTTGCAAAAAATTTGCAATTTTTTTTTCGCAAAACTTGTGCAATCTGTTTCCTTATGTCATAGGCTTTCCAAAAAGCTAAATTTTATCAAAATCTGACAAGTGAAAATGGGCCAAAACAAAGATTTAGTTTGCTACAGGCAAAAGCAGTCATTCAGGCAGTGTGCCTGAGGACTCAGGCAGTTAGTATTAAAGCCCGGTTTTAGGCCTAAAGGGAGGGCTTTGGGTATGTAAGAAAAGTCAGAAAAGTTCAACAGCCTCAGACCAATACTTTTTGAGTTATGTAAAAAAAACTACAGGGGGGGGTCAAATTGACCCCCCCCCCAGCGGGAATAGGGTTAAACTTGTGGATTCGTTTTTTAAAAAGTATTTAATAAAAAACTTTTAAAAACATGTATAAGGGGTCAAATTGTGATCGAAATTAGTAAGTTTTGATGAAATGAAATATCTTCACTCTTCATTGAAAATCTAAATTTTGCATAACGCCGAATTGCATTCTATTATGAGATAAGATAAACTTTGAAAAAAAAACTAAAATAAGGATGATTGGGTTTGTGAGGTAATTTTAACTGCCAAGACGTTGCGACACTTCAAAATCACTTAAAATTTTGATTTTGAACAAAAATTGTGCCATTTTTAGCAAATACTCTAAAGAAATGTTTTTTTTTTGGTCTGGGTATGCATGTGCAATATAATATAAATGTACACTGTACATTGTAAAGGGTGTCACAATAAACATGGTAATTAAGAGAGAGTTGAAAATCGTCTTATCTGAAAAAATCCCTCAGTATCTCCGTCAATTTTAAAGGTGCAAAAATGGGATACCACATTTTGTAAATCCAAGACCAGTAGCTTTAGATGTTAAATGTTTAACTGGGATATTACTAAAATTGTGTTAACGAAATAATGTCGCGCGGAACAAAGACGATATGAAAGTCGTCACTTAATTCCATGATTATTGGGACACCCAGTATAATGTGATGTTATTAACGAACATACATTAACACTTCTTAGAGGGTGTTAATTTCAAAATTAAACTCATTTCTATGAGAAATAAAAAATAAAATGTTTTGAAGAAAAATTGAAACTTTTAAAAGTTATTCTTTCGTTTTAACTTTAAGAGTTGTTAAGAAATGCAATTGTTATTAATAAACTAAAACAGTTAATTTTTTATCTTTTATCTAAACCTATTCGATGATTGCTTATTTATTTATATGTATTTGTTCATTTTTATACCCCCAAGTGCACTGCACATCTGCTGGTATAGAGACCTGCATAATATTACGCAAAATGACGTAAGCCTATAAAAGAACGAGAAATTTTGCTAAAAATGCGCGTGCATGCATTTAGGAAAGTGCTCTTTCACAAAGATCATTGTTTGTCTGTTCCTAGGCTACAAGTTTTCTGAAACTTTCTTTTACAAAACCCTATTTTTTAAAAAAATCTTGATTTGATTTTCAATTAGCTTTTCTTTTTAATGATCGTTTTTGTTTTTCAAGGTATTTTTTACCAAATATTTCAGGAGAGTTCTTTAAAAAATCTTCTTTTGTGTTAATAATAATTATTAATCAATGCAGTCTTTAATAAAATTTATAAAGGCAATCCAAACCTACCATTCAAGAGCTTGAAAGTCCTAATTTTAAGGGATTGTAAACATAATTTCAAGTGGGTCCCCCCCATGAAAGAGTTGCATGCCTGATTCACAACGGAGTAGGTTTTCTAACTTAAAACGTGTTGAATTCTGACAATTTCCTTCTTTATGTCTGCTGAATAAATCCACAAGTCGATTTATATAAAGAATCCAAAATTAAAAATGACCAACTTCTTGTAAAGGAAACTTTCAAACATTTCGGGCGTGTCCATTTTTAACTGGAGGGCCACTACTGAATCTGTTATTTCTTTGTAAAATGTTGGAGTTGGACATATAAACTAACTGCTGAATATTACAGGCTGTGAAGGCTCCCAGTGCTCCACACATCAAGAGACCAATGAATGCTTTCATGGTTTGGAGCCAGATAGAGAGAGCCAAGATTATCAGTAAAACTCCAAGAATGCATAATGCGTACATCTCACAAACCTTGGGAGCCAGGTAGGTGCATAATATTAACCTTGGGATCCAGGTAGGGTAGTTTACTAACCTTGGGAGCTAGGTAGGTTTAGCTTACTGAATTTGGAAGCCTTCTAAGTACAATACACTAAAGGAATTGAGTCTTTGCCACAAACTCTACTTTTCTAAACCCTATATCTTTGGATTCCAATGTCGTAGACCTTAGATATTTCAAACTATGAATTCTGTAATATCAAATAATGTAAGTTTGAAATATCAAAGATTTGCGACATTGAATTCCAAAGATATAGGGATTTTAAATTCAGAAGTTTGTGGCAAAGACTCAATTCCTTTGGGAGCGAAGTATATGCAGTACAATACATTTTGGAGCGAGGTAAATGCAGTACAATAAATTTGGGAGCCAGGTAGGTAGAGTACACTAAATTTGGGAGTATACAATTTTAAAAGACAATTACAAAAATATTTATTTTTATAATCAACACGCGAAGCAGTTGATGAGAAAAAATTGCCGTCATCCAATTTTTTAAGCAATTCGAAGACTAAGACAACTGGACTTAGTTCGTGTATGGGACTAAGGATAGTATCTCGACAGGGCTGGCAACTTTTTTAATGGAAATCTCGCATTGGTGAAAGATTTCAGTAATGAGAATTCGGTTCAAATTTTACTTATAACTGTGGACATACGAGAAATTGGTTAATGGGACTGTAAGCGTAATTTCATGTGACCCTCTCTCCTTTCTTAGATGGCATTGCCCGATTTACAGTGGTACCCTTAAAAGCTTTGTCTGATCAAGTATGAATTAGATATGAATGTTAAAAGATCGAAAACTGCAGGAAAACATATCGAAATTATCAGAACTAAGCACTTTAAAAACTAGAAAAACGACAATATATTTCACATTATTGACCAAATAAAGGTTTCAAGGGTACCGTTGTGAATCAGGTATTACCATCATTGAATGGAGGGTCACTTGAAATTACGCTTACAGTCCCTTTAATCTCCTCTGGAACTGAGAATAAGTTTAACTTATTCCTTCGATTTATTTAAAAGTCTCCAGCTCAAGATTTTTAAAAAAATTATAATTTTAATGAACTAAAATATCCTGAGAAGATTCCCAGAGAGAACAGAGATGAGATATGATCAATATCTCATGGTTCAACTGTTTAGTAAAGGATTCAACTAGTAGATTAATCTTATATAATGAGATAGATGAAGGAGGGGGGGGGAGGGGTTTCTTCATCAGAAAATATTCTAACTTTAGGTATTTAATATTCAAATTATTCTTCTCCGTGAATTACTTTGAAACTGGACTTCATGCCTTGAATTAAATTGCAAGGTTTTATTGGAAATATTTTTGTAAGTTGAAAGAGAGACGTTTTACTATTCTGCGCACGTGCTATATTGTACGCTACTGATGAAGCAATAAATAATAGATGAATATCTTTTCTCAGATCTGACACGCAAACTGATTGCTGATTTGATAGAAGGCAGGGATATTAAAAAACGACGACATTTAAAGATAGATTATTCGAGCTAATTTTCTCTTTCCTTGTACTTGTACCAACATAAATAGGTTAAATTCATTGTGATGACAATTTGCAATGTTTGCACATTTTTTATTTTTACTACAGTAGTCAGCGTTTATGTCAATACAATGTAGTCAATTAAAGATTTAATTTCTATCAAGCCCTTTTCAAAACAAAAAGAAGCTGTTAATAGCATAAATGACTAGAGTATTTTTTAAGAGGTAAAACGGTAATAAATTGAAAATACTTTTCTAATTAAAAGAAAATGTGAAGATGACAATCATTTCTCAGTTTATTGGTTATCTCAATACATAATTCATAATTCCAGGTGGAGAAAGTTGAGCGAGAAGGAAAGACGACCTTTCCGACAGGAGGCGGAGAGGTTACGCCTTCTTCATATAGCGGAGTTCCCACATTACAAGTACAAACCTAGGTAAAACATTTTATATTATACTCCACGTACTTGATTGTCCCAGCTGACCAATTTATCGTCCTGGCTGGTTTCAAATTTTTAACTACTTTATTGTCCCGACTGGTAACTTTATTGTCCTTCCAGACTTAAAGCATAAATGTTCCCTTTTTGTATGATTGATATTCTTTGAGAAAGTTTCTGTTTATCTAGAAGGAGAGTAAAGTCTGGACATTTTTAAATCATAAACCAATATTATCGTCCCAGCTGGAAACTTTATTGTCCTTTCGGACTTTTAGCATAAATGTTCCCGTATGTATGATTAATATTCTTTGAGAATTTTTATGTTTATCTAAGAGAAGATTAAAGTCTGAAAATGTAGAACACCTATCGTCCCGGCTGGCAATTTTATTGTCCTTCAGAACTTTATGTTCCCGTAAATGATTAATATTTGTTGAGAAAGTCTCCGTTTATCTAGGAGGAGAGTAAAGTCTGGAAGGAAAAGTAAGGATCAGGTTGAAGAGGAATCTACCAAAGATACAACTAACAACACTGCCATAGTACAAACAGAGGACGAGTCCAACCAACATTACTCAAGACGATATTCTGTGACGAGTGACGAGTACCCAGCTAGTCAGGAGGACGGATCTAGTCCTAGGATACAGTTGGATGAGCTGAATGAAGAATACAATCCTGCCTGCTCCGATCTCCAGTTTCAGATAGATCTGGAGGATTCAGATTTCTCGCTCTTCTCCCAGGATCCGCTCCCGGGGGTTGATACGACGTGGTTCTCAGATAAAAGTCCGACCTACACGGAGTATCAAGGTAGTAGGGGAGTACCGGAGGAGCATAAATACTACTCGGAGCGGGGTTCAGGACAAATATTTAGCTGGAATCTTCCCACGGTTGACAACGACGACATTTATCCGAATCCTTACAATGAAGAGGAAATGGATTTGGTGGAATTACAGCCGATAACATCTGAAAGCTGTCCTCCGGCCATTCTCAGCTGTCCCAGCTGTCATTGTAATCTCAGCTGTCGGACTGATCTGACCGGCACGATGAGCTTGCCGGTCAATGGATCTCTTTTGAATTTTGCCGAGACCAGTCTAAATATAGATAATCTTCTCTAAGACAAGTTCAAATGTTCTCTAACGTGAAGGATTATACAAATGTACATGTTGTACGAGGATTATACAAATGTACATGTTGTACGAGGATTACAGAACCATTTGCTTTATTACGAAATCTTACTATAGTCTTATAATTTCTATGCCGGCAGGGAGGGNCATTCTTTAAGCCATTTATAATTTTAAGATAAATCTTGGATATTTGTTAATCTCCGGTTTAATTCTAATATCTATATTTTTTTCTCTGGCTAAACCTTGAAAAGATATTAATCGCTAGGATAAATTTAGAATAGATATAAATAATAATATTCATGATAAATCTAGAACTCAAAACCCATATTTTTTTCTAGGATGAATATAGAATAGATATCTCTATGGTTCAATCTAGAATAGTGTTAATATCTAGGATAAATCTAGTATTTAACTTACCTTTAGAATAAATCTAGAAGGGATATCAATCTCTAGGATAAATCTAGAATATCTAGAGATCTCTAGAATAAATCTAGAACAAATATTAATCCTAGAATAAACTTAGAATATATATCAATCTCTAGAATAAGCCTAGAATATATATTAATCTTTAGAATAAACCTCGAATAGATTAATATCTAGAATAAATCAAAGATTGATTAATCTCTAGAATAAATCAAGAATGTATATTAATCTATAGAATAAACCTAGAATAGATTAACCTCTAGAATAAATAAAGAATAAAATAATCCCTAGAATAGATCTAGAATAGATTAATCTCTAGACTACATCTAGAACAGATTAATCTATAGAATAAATCTAGAATAGATTAATCTCTAGAATAAATCTAGAAAAGATTAATCTTGAGAATAACTATCTATATATATATTAGAATAAAGCTAGAAGAGATTAATCTCTAGAATAACTATCTATATATATATTAGAATAAAGCTAGAAGAGATTAATCTCTAGAATAACTATCTATATATATATTAGAATAAAGCTAGAAGAGATTAATCTCTAGAATAACTATCTATATATATATTAGAATAAAGCTAGAAGAGATATCAATTTCTATGATAAATCTGGTATTTTCTGAGCACTGCATATAAGAATTATATTATATTAAGATAAGATCTTAAAATGTTTAAATGTCCTGAAAGGGGATAAATCTCTCCGAATATCTCGTATTTTTAAGTTTATTGTCAACATTTTTGGAAACCATCAGATTTGTTAGGGGTGCGCCGAGTGAAAAGGTTCATGTTGAAGACGGGTGGGGGGAGGAGGGGAGGGGGGAACGGGGATGCGAGGGGTGTTATGAAGGACATATACTTATTTCTTGCATAACATAATTGAAAACAAATAACTGCCATCAATTGTAAACCTAAGGGCTCTCGGGTGCACATTGTATTTTGTGAATAATATCGGATTTATTTGACCAGAAGATAATCTCAGGTTCAAGCAGAAAACAGGCAAAACCAAGCCTAGCGGCGTCTTTACTTATAATCAATAAAAGACAGAGCATGCCAATCACACGACCAACTTAAACTGAACAGTTTTTTAACGATCTCTGATATCTATCTTATACCCCCCGCCCCCACCCCGTTCTTTCGCCCCTTTCTTAGTTATGAAAATTATCCTTCCCCTCCCCTTTCTCCTTAAAAATCCCTTTCCCCCCCCCCTCTTTACAAATATGTGCCTTGTGCATAGTATTAGATGTAAGTTTGAATTTAAAGTGAATACAATGGATTTTAGAAATGGAATAAGATTTGTTTAAGTGCATGTAAAATATAAAACTAAACCCCGACAATCTTCAGGGTTAGCATTACTCAGATAGACTGGATCTAATGCAAGTTTTGGATAATTTTTCCCAAAATAATTTGATTGAAAAATTTTGATTTAAATATAAATCAAAATATTGATAAAAATAAAGTAAGCGTTGATCAAAAAATTGCTATTCAAAGGATTTTTTTGACTAATTGAAATTCATGGGATTCGTTCCGAGAAAATCTAAAATTTCATAAGATAAAACATATGATTTAAAAATTCTTATTTTTGTGTAATTATGGTATGTGTATAAATTTTATAAACACTCTCTATAAGTGTGTCCAAGAAGTTTTAAAACCTTTCGTCAATTAAATCAGACTGATGCACGATGCCATCTTGAAATTAGAAAAATGCACATAAACATCAATAAGGACAAACTGAAAAAAAGAAAATCTTGCACAGATTATCATCTAGTTGAATCAAACTTGCATTTGACCTTTTAAAGCAAAACAATGAACAGTACAGGGGGATCCATTAAACTGTGGCATGTAAAGACGACATTTAAGCAATCTTATTTGTATTTCAAGTTATTTGAAAGGAAATAGTTGTTTTATTAGCTAAATAATCAATGAAATTTGTCTGTGTACACTTCACAATTGCCGTGTTACATGTTGATTGGACTTTTTAAAATCATATTTTGATTCTTAGACTTGTCTGTCTAATCCACAATTGTATAGGTCCCCCTGTTAACCCGATATAAGGGTGCTTCTATATTGGGATAAACTGTTATACGTTATCCCTGTATTTAACTGAACAAATCCAGCTTAAATTTTGTGAATTTCTACTGTGTGTGCTTTCAATCTACGTGTAATTTTGTATCTTTAATATTTGACTTTATATATTTAACTGTTTATATGTGCATTATATGTCTTTTACATAGTTCATCCAAGTTTTGATATTTTTTGCCTGTCAGTAATTTTTAATTTAAACTTCTATTTCAGAGTTTTAATATTTTTTATCTTTACCTTTGCAAATGTTCATTTCATTTATTTTGGTATTAATATGATTCTAGACACAATATTAAGAAAATCCTTAATTATTGCAGCAAAAAAAGTTTAAGATTAAAAACTTCAATTAAAAGTTTTAGTTTAAAGTAACATCCTTTAGATGAAGTTATGCTTAAAATTATAAATATACCTGTAATGACCTGAAAACAAAATGAACAGCCTCAATCAATATTCTTAGATGAATTTTAAACCCTAAGTTGGAAACAGCCCAAATAGCTGTATTGAAACAAACATCCAGCTGATACCCTGTTCAATGCGCTCTTGCCGCTGAGTGTTTTAAGTTCTCTGCAACCTTTCAGGATTAAATCACGTGATCTCCTCTTTGCCTTTCTTGTGTTCAAGCTTTTTGTAACTGTTTATACCATTTTAGAATATAAATATAGAATGTAAGTGTGAATTTATCCGTATTTAATGTGCATTATTTACTCAAAAATAATTGGTCACAACTCACAATTAATTCAAATTTAATTTAAATAATTTGAAATTTTAAAACTCTGAAAAAGAGAATATTAAATATGCAATATATTTCAAATATTTCAAAATTTCTTTCTCCTTCCTCCAAAATTTTTTCCCGGATCTCTATAACCTCATATAATTCAAATAAAATACACAAGCTTCCATTTTTTTAGTTTTAGACCATTGCAATCAAAATTTTAGGAAGAATGTTGAAAGTATTCAATTTGTCAATATATAAACTTAATTTTATAACTTTTTATTTCAATTTTAAACTTTAAGAAGCGGCAGAGCTTAATTTTCATGTGTACGTGTTTTAAATTAATACCTTTTAAGAGAGCCCTGGCACAGTTCAAAGTCCAACTTTGAAAAAAAAATTGTAGTTAAAATTGTTTGCATTTTATAGTTTGGGCATTTACAAGTATTTGTATATTGTGATCAGTGTTTACTTCTTTTATATAAATAATTACATATTTACAAAACTTATTAAATACATGTTTTATCAATAAAAAACACTTTTCGTGCAGAAATTTAATTGAAAACAAATGATTTCTCAGAGTTGCAAAATGTTGCAATAATAATTTGGCTTTGCAATTGCATGTGCTAAAATTTGATCTGACCAACACAAATTATGCTGGGGGGGGGGGGAAGGGGGTGCAGAAAAAACGAGATGAAATTGCATTAAATTTATTCATGCCGATGTATAGGTGCCGGGGGGGGGGGATAAAACACCAAAATAATCAAGTCTGAATATCCATAAAAATGGATTGGCTTCTAGAGAAAATAAATCAAAATAGTTGCAATAATTTATACATACTTTTACAATTGGTTAAAAAAAACACAATTTGCAAATGTTTAAAATGCCGACTTTCGCCAACTGTAGAAGTGCAGAAATACAGAATTTTTCTTTTAAAAAAAATTTTCTTTTAAGAAAAGAAATCTGTTTAGTTTTAGTGCGCTTTAACCAAAAATCAGGATTTTCAACAAGAAAGGAAATGAGTTTTTGTAACAAACTCAGATTTTTTAAACTCAATATCTCTGCTACTGGATGGAGGAAAACTTTGATATTTCAAACTCAAATTATTTGATCTACCAAAATCCATAGTTTGAAATATCTAAGGTCTACGACATTGGGTTGCAAAGTTATAACGATAGGAAAATTTTAGTTTGTGGCAAAAACTCAATTCCTTTATATAAATCAATAATTCACATCGATACCCTGAAAACCATAAGGATGTTGATAAATAAAAGAAAACCTAAGGTATAGGAATTGACTCTTTGCCACAAATTCAAATTTTGTAATTCTTATATCTTTGTAACCTGATATGGTGTAAACCTTTGATATTTCATAATTAGATTATTTGATCTACCAGAATACATAGTTTAAAATATCTAAGGTCTGCGAGATTGGGTTGCAAAGTTTGTGGTAAAGACTCATCAATATTTAGATAAATAGTTAATATGAGTTTAGTTAATTTTGATAACCATCATAAATGTACAATGTTATAAAGTTTCTTACTATGAACAAAATTGCTCGTTATCTCACTTTCTCTTCGGTCGGCCTCAGCGTACTGCAGATCACTGCAGTACGCACAGAAAGCTTTGTTTAAGGTGGAATAATAATATAAAAACGGATGATTAAAATTCTATCTATAAAATTTAATGCTATAATATTCTTTTGATAAATCCTCAAGAGTATTAAAAAGAATTATTATCTGAAATCATGGTTCGATAAATATCAGCTGTATCTCCATAATGCAATTATATTCAAATATATCAAATATATTTCAAATATTTGATATATCAAACGATATTAAAAAATATTTTGTGTAGTTAATAAAATTCAGAATTTTACAAATTCGATTCCACTCCCCCCCCCCCGTCCTCCTCAACAA